GCTCATCAATGAAGAGGACCTTTCAAGAGAAGTGTTAGTTAGAGGTCCCGGTAGGAAAGTAGACAAGTGCATCGACCCGTTCCCGGTTCCATGGTGCGCGATCCCGCCTGTCATCTTGCATAAGGGAATGGTCGGGATGTCGATGTCACGATAAGATGTCAGGTATGTTTTAGCTATCTCAATTTTTCATGTGGCTTCATTAGGTGTAAGTGTACACATTCTTTGGTGGTGCCAAGTGATCTAAGTAAGAAGAGTATTCGTATAGATAATCAGAGTATGAGTATGTGAATGTCTAGTTGGAGGGTCTTAATAGAATATACAAGGTTACCTTAGCTATTCTTTGAGGGCTCCAGTCAAATTTAGTATGCCGACCTAAGGAAAGTTTTTAGCACAAGTGTTGTTTGACCTTAGGATTGTGGATCCAAAGATGAAAGAATAGGTAATTGTCCCTTGTTGAGTTGAGGGTGAACTCTAAGAAAATGTCAAATCATAGTTTTTTCCACCTTTGAGTGTTTCCTAAGGGAGCATCCTTATGGATTGTCAAGCTAAGCATGAGACTATAAGGACTTTTCATGGCGGCAGTTGAGAGGGTTTGAGTGATCGACCCGTAACGAGTTAGTAATCCCAAATTCAACGTTAGATATTAAGATCTTTGCAAAAGCATTAAGAATACCCAAGTCTCCCTAGCCAGTAGGTCAATCATCTTGATTGTTAGACTTATCAGGATATATCTCAGTTAGTGGTAAATCCCTTCAGTTGCTAACTAGGCGCATATGCCCCAAATACTCGCAAAGAGTAAGTTAGCAGGGTGTATTTTCCAATGTTATAGTTTCAAAATTCCACCATAAGTACAAAGGGTACCATAGGTTAGGTAGTGAGTTGTGAGTCTAGGGTTACGAGTCTCGAGGTGTAAAGAACCCTCCGGTTTCGTTAGTTTGCATTTGTGCATGAGTAGTAAGTGAATCAGCTAAGTGAGCCATGCCTCGTCAGTGATGCATTTGTGTTGGTATACAAGTGCGAGCCATATACAAAACACAACAGCATGCAGTGTTGCATAGTATCATGGATTTTAGTACTTTAGATTAAAGGAGATCAACTACTTTAAGCATCGTTTGACTAGCATTAGTCGTTATGGGATATCTCAATGGTGGTAAGTGATAGTAAGTGTAAGACGTAGAGTTTCAGAACACTTAAGTCATAGAGCGGTTACGAGAGGCCTCAATTTATGAGGCGTATTTCCTATGAGATACAGATATAGTTTGTTTAGTTAGACAAGTGGTCAATTTTTAGTTATGAGTACCTTAGATGTGCAACCAGAGGAGTAGAGCGTATGTAATCCGCCATGCAAGTGAGGAACAGTCTTACGGCATAGATGAGTATTCAATCAGAGTTGCGTAACAGAAGCTTGAAGATCGACGTAGGAAAGTAAAGAATTATCATTATAGCTTTAGTAGTCGGTATCAAAATAGTTTGGCAGGTGTTGTAAGATCTCAGAATTTCCTATGTTCAGCGGGTAAAATACATTATTGTAGTATGTAGTGAGTTAACTCGATTGAGTAAGGTTAGAAAGAGAATGATTTAGTGATAGTAGTGAGTAGTGGATTAGTGTTACTCTTGCGAAATATTCTAAGTATTCAGTGTTTATACAACCAGAGTAAGACTCGAAGGTTTAGCACTTTTTAAAGGTTGTTGCTTAAGGAGCGACGTAGATAGCATACTATAAGAAAAAGGAGGCATAGATCAATTGTGAGTTTTAGTTGCAAGACAAGTTGCGATAAATTCTTTCTCGAGGATCAGTTTTAATATGAGTTAGGTGCTTTGAGGTTTTTAAGTGTTTGACCTAAGGATCTATCATGGTTGAGACCAAGTAAGTGTGATGGTTGAGACCGAGTAAATTTCGAGGATGAAATTCTTTTCAAGGAGTAGACAGTGGCTTACACCTCCTAGGTTCATTGACGTTCTCGAAGCCCACGCTCCCCGTTATTTCTGAATCTGAATTACTGATTATACTGCTGGTCGACATTCCCTTGCAAAGATCTTCATTATCAACTATTTGTATACGTGTTTGACTGAAGATACATGGGTGTGGTACGTTTAATATGGTTGTATCCATTGTAACCAAACCTTAAATACCTTCTTTAGTACTTATTCTAGTGTTTTATGCATATTCGATCCCATTAATAAACTATGGGTCTAGGGCCTCCCGGGCAACATTTTGAAACCACAGTGCAAATTTTTCATTCTGGACAAGGGGTTTTAAAACCAACTTGGGGGTTTTGAAACCTCTATTTTTAGATTACCCTATTTCTTACGAGAAAGCTCTCCAAATCACTCTTAAAACTTTCCCAAGGTCCTCAAATGTTTAGAAAAGCTTATGGAAGTTAGTTAGGCTCATCTAGAACTATAAAAACACTACCCTTTTAACAAAAGAATCATCCATGTCAAGAATCAAAGATAAACCCTAATATACCCAATTACTCAAATCTTCAACAAGCATTATGGTTTATGAAAATCATGACATCGCAAATGATTAGAAATACACTAACTTGTTTTTTGGAAACTCGAAATGATACTCATTGCTTAGTCACACACCTTTTCTCTAAGACTTGGTAAGTTTTCACTTTTTCTCTAGTCAAACAAGAAACCCAATAATCCCTTAGCTCAATTAAGTTTATAGGAAGGATTGAGGATAAATTTAAAGTTTAAAGAAGTGAAGAACAATAATATTACCTCCCACTTTGATTTATTAAGCTTGAAGAAGGAAATGGAATAAGAAAATGGAGGAGAAAAATGAAAGAGAAGAGAGTATGCTCATATTTTTTTCCTTTTCCAAACCCATGACCAACACTCTTATAAAACCTTAGGATTTTGCCTCATTTTCTTAAATGGTTTTATTGCACTTTTGATCCTACATGGGTTGCCATATATTTAAAAATCCACTCTTTAATTATGAAATCGACCCCAATGACTTTAATTATGAAATCCACGGGCTCTAGTTACCTCTCGAGTGAACACATAACTACCAACCCAAAATTTGGGGTTTTACATGAAAAGATCTATTCATTGATGTATTGTTTACTTGAATATTTGAAGATTGTATTCAAGATTGAGTTGTAATATCCCAAGATCTTATGTGATATTATCATGAGGGGAGCAAATATGTGTTGTACTCTTTTTCCCTTAACCATGATTTTGTCCCACTGGGTTTTCCTGGTAAGGTTTTTGATAGGGAAACATATTATACATATTAAAGATAGGTGTACTAGTTTTCCTTCATTAAGATTTTTTCCCCATGGGGTTTTTATCTTAATAATGTTTGACGAGGCACATTATCTTCATAAACATCCAATAGAGAGTGTTACGAATATTTATTTATGTGGATGTCTATCTTTATCTTTTATCTCTATCTATAAGATAGGATTTTGATATACTTATTATTAGGACTTTAATATCCATTAGAGTTCTATATGATATCTACTCCTTATGCTTATAAATATGGAGTTCAGAGAAAACATTGTACAAAACTCATATTGAGATAATAATACAGTTATATCCCTTTGTTCCTATATCTTTTGTTCTTCTTTTCCTATCTTATTGCTTTGTTTAGATTATTTCATAACATAAAAGAGTTTTTTAATCGAATACTAATTGATTTAATAAGATAAAATATTGAATATTTTAAGTAAGATCGGCTATTTGAATTCTAACATTGTGAATAAAACAATTCCTTTTTATGATTCTCCTTATTAATCATACTTCTCTTTTTAAAAAACAAATTCAATAATTATCTAATAAATTTTAGGGTAAAGTACACATTTAGTTCTTAAAATATCAGTTTTGATTTGTTTTAGTACCTAAACTTTAATATTTTTCAAAATCATACCCAATATTTAGTTTTTATTTCATTTTAGTATATGTTATTAAAAATTTAATGCGTTTAGTACCTAAACTATTAGTTTTAAACCATTTTAGTACCTAAACTTTCAATTTTTAAAAAAAACTTAATTTGAACATGTACTAAAATGAAACAAAAACTAAAGTTTTTGATGGCAAAATTCTAAAATGAAACAAAAAACTAAACTTTAAGTATAATTTTGAAAAAATTGAAAATTTAGACACTAAAACATACCAAAATTGATAGTTTATGTACTAAATGTGTAATCTACCCTAAACATTTATAACATTTGATCTAAGATTAATTATTAAATGGATTTACTATCAAAATAGTGCTAGATAAAATTTAGTCTTGTGCTCTACAATGTAGTAATTATTAAGAAAGAACATAAAAAAGAAAATGGAAGTACTTGGAAGTCTTAACTAGTGAAAGCTACAAGTTAGCTATTTACTCATTATTCTCGTCTTTATTAAGTTCTTTTGCTAACTTCTATGAATAGAAGAATTCCGATTTTGATTTGTCCTTTGACTAAGAGAAAAAAAGACAATAGTTGGTAAACAAAATACAATTTCATGTATAAAAATATAAAATAACATAATCATGATTTATCATAAAAGAAAAGAAAGCATAATCATAATGAAGATAGAAGCCGACAGAGACACGTTGGATTAGAAAAGGAATTAAGTATGCGGGCTCTGCTCATGTTCTATTGTGCTATATTATAAAAGTATAATGTTAAAATTAGTCCAATAACATTTATTTAAATAGTATTTTCATTTTTATTTTTTTTAAAGTATTTTATTTTAATGTCTCGTTTTAAGTTAAAAAAAATTATAACGTTTGACTAAATAATCACTTTGAACCTTATTTATTTTTTTCTTTTTTTTTAGAATTTTACCCTAATATTTTGTTTTAAAGTTAACAAATTTGTGTTTTAAAGCATTAACTTATTTATTAACTAACATTTTTTTTATTTATGGTGACCTTTTTACCTCGAAATAAAATATTAGAAGACAAAATAACTATTTTGATTAATATTAAGAATTATTTTTATACCATATAAAAACACCCTCTTTGATTTTCTTCATTTATATTGCTTTGTTATCAAAAGAAGTGGCTTTTGGGGTTTCTTATTAGCTTCTTTACATTAATATATATGTTACACATTTCTAGTTGATTAATTAGTATTTTTCCTTTTTGAAAGTTGTACGGTTAGGAGGGCATTCACTTCAAAGGCAATTGCTTCTCTTTTTTTCTTCTTTGGAGCAACTCTCGATGATTTTGCGATTAAACAAGATAGATATTGTTAATGGAAGAAGAGGAAGGCAGAAGCAAGTTCAAAAGGGTGTGTGTTTTCTGTGGGAGCAACTTCGGCCATAGAAAAATCTTCAGCGATGCTGCGATTGATTTGGGCAATCAACTGGTTTGCTTTCTTCTCTTGCTTTGAACCCCATCTCTGTTCACTTGAATTTGAACAAAATTTTGTGGTATTGATCTCACAAGATGAACGTTTGTTTGCTTTATTTCTTGCTTATGGTCATAGGTGAAAAAGAAGATAGATTTGGTGTATGGCGGTGGAAGCGTTGGGTTGATGGGTCTGATATCCCAGACGGCGTATGATGGAGGTTGCCATGTTCTTGGGTAAGCTTTACAAGTTGCAGATGCCACTAATAGAGACAAATCATCAATAATAAAAATATTAAATATGAAAAGTATACCTAAATTAATTAATAAATTGAAATATTTGAGTCTTTTTTTTTTCTTTTAAGAATATAGATTTCTTCTCGTTGTAGAAATCCTTCGACAGATAATAATAATACAAGTTAAACTATTTATTGGAGACTATTAAGTAAATATTAGGTCAATTTTTAAAGTATTTATAATTTTATCTTTCGTTAAATTATAAATACAACTTACAGTATCTACACTTTAATTTAACAAAATTGATCGTTTAATTTTGTGTCATACTTTATAATAGCATTGTACGTTATACATATGTACCCACAATGATAGATTTTAATCCAACAGACTAAGCAAGTAATCGTTGTTCTACATGCAGGATAATTCCAAAAGCTCTCATGCCTCTTGAGGTATGTATATGTAGCTCGCAAGAGTTATTATTAATAGGAAAAATGTATGTATGTATGTATGTAATGTAATCCTGGGTAACATTGACAGATATCAGGAGAAACAGTTGGAGAACTGAGGACAGTATCAGATATGCATGAGCGCAAAGCTGCAATGGCACGAGAAGCTGATGCCTTTATTGCTCTTCCCGGTAAATTAATGCAAAGAAATTCTGACTAACATAGATTAAAAGATCTAACATTTAATGTTTGATGTTTAGGTGGCTATGGAACAATGGAAGAGTTGCTGGAGATGATAGCATGGTCCCAACTTGGAATACATAAAAAAACAGTAAGCCGTGATTATTACAGCTTGAAGAATATTTATTTATCATAATACATTAATTGAATTGTTAATGCAGATTGGATTGCTTAATGTTGATGGTTATTACAATAATTTGCTGGCTTTATTTGACAATGGAGTTGAAGAGGGGTTCATCAGCACAGGTGGCAGGCATATCATTGTGTCTGCTCCAACTGCCAATGAACTTTTGGAGAAGATGGAGGTAAAACTTATTTACCCTTCATTTTTGTAGGATCATGTGGTTGATTAGGAGGTAAAATTTGGTGTGTTGAATTCTGCAGCAATATAGAGGTTGCCATGAACACGTTGCTCCTCATGAAAGCTGGGAGATGAAGCCACCTGGTGATTGTCCATTGTAGCATGGATGGTTAGGTTTCACCCTCTTGATTTCTGATGTGATCCATCATCAAACGTTGTATTTGAATATGGGCCACATGTTGGTGGTGTTAACATCTACTTTTATGATCCTATTAATCGAAGTTGCTTTACATAAATGGGATTGATTTATGCCAAATCCACCTCATTCAAATCTTTCTCAACCGTACGAATTAAGTGATTTTAGTGATTAAAGAATGATTATTATCCTTAAAGGTCTCAAGTTCGAATAAGATGTTTGTAGAGGTGTTTGAGTGTTCATTGTCAAATGGTTGTTGAAAAAATTAAATTTTATAAACTCGACTTGAAAAAAAATCAAATTCAAGTTCATATATAAAATAGGATTCAAATATATCAAAATTTTTAATAATTAGCGGATTGATTTTAAGTTTATGTCAAGACTCTCAACTCTGATGATACATGTATATCACATATGAAAAACATGAAGACATATATTTATATCATGTGATTATGGAAAGTTGTTTAAATTATAATCAATTTCTATCATAACATTAAATATTTATGATTAAATTTAAATAGAAATTTAAACAATTCGAGTCAATTCAAATTATTTTAAATAAAGTTTGGATGATAAAACAAGTCTCGTTAACTTGACTAACTCAAAATTTTCAACTTGATCGAATACTCACTCTTATACTATTATCTTGAGTTAATTAAGTTGGTACCAATAACATCAAGAAGGAATATATGCCTAAAAGTATTCTTTTAATTAATTTTAAAAAAGACGTTAAGAGAAAATAAAATATTGAAAAAGGAAAACATAAAACAATTATGAAATTTGATTTTGAAATTGATTTTGTTCATGCTTAAAAGTCTTTTGATGAATTGAAATTTTGAAAGTTTCTCTTTTATATACTTTTATTTGAAAACTGTTAACAAATTTAGTCATTTTTATCATTTTAAAGTTGGTTAAACGTTGACGTATAAAAGTTGTTTCCTATCTAATTTTTTTATAATTTTTATAGAAGTAGCTAATTTTATTAAAAAATAAAATATCCAGAATTATAATGAATATTTATATATTTTTTTTAGAAATCTACTTGATATTATGGTTTTTTCTTTTTACTCAAAATTAGGGTTTTTTCTACTGTTTGGCACGTATTTGTTAGGTTTTGATTTCATTTTTAATTTATTTTCGTTGATTTTGACTAGTTTTTTTTTTCACAGTTGTCTTTATTCAATGGGAGATCTTGAAAAGGATTTGGGAGGGGAAGAAGAGGATGGAAGAGGTGGAGAACTTGTTCGTTGAGGTGAAAAAAAAAATTTGTTGAGTTTGGGTGCCTCTCGAATTTATGTGTTTTGTCTTGAAACCTTTGCACTTTTAAGATTCCATAAAGTGGAGATTCGTTAGAGTTTGAATCGAATTCAAAGTGACACAAATTAATTAATATATAAATTTGTGAAAGTAAGAAACTTACTTTGATTAAAAGTAGAGAATTTTATTAAAGTAGATTTCTACTTTATTTAGTTTCCTTTGTAATCAATTATCTATTATCTACTTTTAATCAAACATAAAATAATCAAAATGATATCAATATAAAATAATACATGGGCAAGAGACAAGATTTAACGTGGTTCAACCTTGCCTACCTCCGCGGGCGAGATTAACAATAATCGACTATAAACGTAGAGGATACGAAGAGTACAAATACATGACGCCACATGTATTGTCCCAAAACCCGATATAGATACAAAAACCCGGTATATCGCAAAACATTCTTCCAATATCCCTGTAAAATTATCGTTGCAACATAAACCCTAAAAGTTGTAGAGATCTCAAATATGATTTCATCTCTTCAAAACAAGTCTTTCTCACATTATTCTAAGGCCGAGACATTGTCTCTATTTATAGAACAAAATACTTGGTAACCAAGAATTCTTTTTCCTATTGTCTAAAATAAATATTTACTTTATTAAATAAACATAATTACCAAGTAATCTTCAACCATTAGAACTACAATAAAAAGTAACTTAATTACCAATTATAATCTCTGTTTTGAAAATCGGACTGGACCGGACCGGTCGGTTCAACCGGTTCAATCGGAACCGTTGTCTAGTCCGGTTCAATCTAAACCGGTTGAACCGCTACTAGTGAACCGTCAGAACCGCTGAATCGTTTGAACCGGACCGGCTAAAACCGAAAAAACCAGAAAAAATCGGAAATTTTGTTTTTTTTTAAACAATTAAACCAAACGTCGTTTGTTAAACGAGCCAAGTCGAACTCGAGTATTGCTGAGCTCGACTTGAACTTGAAAACTTTAAAAGTAAGCTCAACTCTACTCAAACTCACAAGTTAAAAATTATCAAGTTCAACTCGAACTCAAAATATAATATTGAAACTTGAACTCAAAAAGGCTTGAACTAAAAAAAATTTAGAAGCTCAATTGAAGCCTAAAATTCAAGCTTGATTGAAGTGAAAGAATAGTTTACTCAATGCTCACCAAAAGGCTCTATGATTTTGAATGCCAATACCTCTATTATTTATAGAAGTTAGTTGTGATGCTCTTCTATGTTTCTTAGCAATGTGGGATTGTTTTGTTCTCATATTTTCTCTTTAGACTTTTGGGATGCTCTTCTATGTTTCTTAGCCATGTGAGATTGTTTTTATAAAAAAAAATTAAACCAAACAATATCATTTTATTATGATTTTTTTAGTCCCAAATTTATTTTTTAATTACAATTATATAATTATATTTATTATTTAATATGTTTTATCTTAAATATTATGCTGTAGTTAATTTGAATCATTTTGTTTCACTTGATTTTATGGTTTTTAATTTATATACGTTATGACTTGCTTTGAATATGACTTGTGATATAAAAAATTATTTTTTATTAAATATTTTTGGTATTTTTATTTAATTTTTTAGATAATTATGACGTCGTTCGGTTCTTCCGACCGATCGGACATGTTCGACCGGTTGAACCAGTGAACCGGTAGCATGGCCGGTTCGCTAACCGGTCCGGTTCTGAAAAACATGATTATAATTTAGGTCAAAATATAATAAATCTTACCTAACGTTATGTTTTGGTTTCATTTTGGTCAGCCACCTTTAAAAATTAATGTTGATGCTGACATATCACTATAATAAAATACATGTCATCATTGAAATGATTTTAGAAAATGTAATGTCAGTTGTTTTATTGATTTTTTTTAACGATGAGTGACCGAAATAAAATCAAAACATTAAATTAAATATTAATTTTTAAAAAAAATAATTGTTAAATAACCAAAACGAAATAAAAATAATAATTTGGATATGAAATGTAGTTTACGCAAGAAAAGAATGTAACGGCGACGTGAAAGAATAAGAAAGCATGAAGAAGCAAAATGGTTTGCTACAACAATCGAAATGCCATCTACTGTTCAGCAGGCATATCATGAGTGATATTGTAGATGTATCAATACTCAATACCATTATTTTTCTGGACAATCAGGTTTCAGTTTTCGTCTCCAGACATCCTCCTTTTTCATTATTCTTCTCTCTTTCTCCACCAAAATAAAAGTCTTTACTCTTTCATCCTTAGCCGTAGCTTCAGAATTATTAAGTTAAATACATATAACAAGGCTATAAGGAGCAAAGCTTCCCAATACATGCTTCCTTTGGGATCATATGCGCTTGAAGTTAGGGATGGCAACCACTCTGGTTTTTGACCGACTCTAATTTGATTCAAAAATTAAATTTTCCATTCTCATTCAACCCGAATCGGGAAGGATCCTATCTGACTCGATACATAACCCAATTTTTTAGGTTAAAAGCCATACTCGATTCAACCCGATTTATATTAAAAATTATTATTATTATTATTATTATTATTATAACGTAAAATAAAAATCTAATAAAAATAGGAGTGAATAGTATTATAATTATTTTTAAATATACAAAAGATGTTTATGATATTATTTTGGGCCGAGTTTTTTTTTTCTCTAAACTCAAATCCATTATACTTTTAGAAAAATTCAAACTGTTCTAACTTAAACTCGAATTTTCAAAATAAAAGACTAATCCGATAGAAATTGTTGGGTCCAGGGTGAAGCCGTAGCCAATGCCAGTGCCAAGCGAATAGCATATACCCATTTGTATCACATTCTCCTGTCCAACATTTGAATGATGATTATATAACCGAAGGAATATGTATCAGCATCAAATGATGATTAAATTTCCGTTTGACCACCTTCGCTGAAAATAAAAAAATGTTCAGTTCCGGCATTCCATCATACTTAATATAATACTCCCCAGCTTTTTGGATGCTATATAGCTTATTTTTCTCATTTACCTTTTACGCGGCCAAAAAACACATTAAAACACACTTTCTCTACATGTAATATAATCAAATCCAAGTTCAAAGAATGGATCTTCCTAATCCTAGGATGCTTCATCAATCTTTTCATCCGTATGCAAACTGGGACTCTTCAGTTCCTTCCCTCTGCGTTATCAACTGTGGATTCAACACCATTTTCCACCACAACAGGCTGGGGCGGGTCGCCATTTTCAGAGGTGGTTTTCTCCTCTCCGTTACTAACCTGTTTAGGGGGTTCTTTCAATGAAGAGATTGTCAACAGCCGACCAAATCCTTCATATAAACTCTCTGCATCCATGATAAGAGCGGCTACCCCAGGATAACAGCGACCAAAGCATGTTGCGCAATGTGGGAAAACAACCTAAGAAATGGGGGAAGTTTGTTAGTGCATGAAAAGTTTGTCAAAAATTCTTCATAAATACAACTTGCACGATGTATAATATGCCAGATCTCATTAGAATGCACCTCAATGAATGCTCGGCAGAGAGAGAGGAAAAGCACGGACTCGTTTTCTCTGAGCATTCGTGTTGCATTGTACCTCAGTAGGGAGTCAGAAACAGCCTGCAATCCTTTGATTAATTCTTGAGCAAGAACATTCTTCAAACTTATTGGGGCACAAGGACGCAGTTCATTAATTGAAGCGGAAACACCTAAAAGTAAAATCACCAAAGAGATGGATTAGTTGACGTCGAAGAAAGTAGTAAATCTAGTCCAATTCAAGGATTGAATGAGAACTGTAATGAGTGTGGTTTTGGAGGAAACACAGG